CATTAGCTGTGTCACTAATCCCATGAGGTCACCAGAGAACCTTGGCACAACAAAAAGCACACTTTACAGTCCTGTCATTGCACTTTCTGATTGGACTACTTCCTCGCTCCATCTCAACTTTTGCAACAAAGGTGGTTGAAAGCAGGTGCTGTTGCAGAAGTATTGAAACAATGGTATCTGACTCAAGCTGTCATGGCTGTCACAATTTCTTTCCTTGATCATCACTTCACAAGTAGTACTGCAGTGCCAGCTGAAAGAGTCCTTAGTGAAGATGAATAAGGTGGGCAGAGCCCAGGATGTAGAAGGCTTAAAGGGTTACATTATTAATGTATTTGCACACAATGCACCTATGAGTTACATCCTGACCCTCCTGGTGTCAGATGTGCTCTGCTGCCAGCAGTGCATGACAGACTGCAGCAGCAGGAATTATTGTAGAGAACAGGAAAACAATTATGCATCTCAGTAGCTACTGTTTTGCTGGGACTTTGTTCTTGCTGCTCATCAATTAGGTAATTCCATGTTTATGTCCTGGTCTTCTTCAGTCTTACCCCTTTCCTGGAGGAATATCCCTTTCCATCTGTGATGTTTGCTTTGTTCAGATCACAATAGGCACATCAACAGCATAACCAACCTGCCTCTAGCTTGGAACTATCTATCTCCTGTTTGCATTTTCTTAGAAGGATATAATTATCCAAACAATGCCAATGGCATTCCTTACTTGGGGTAAGGCATTCAGACTATGTACCACAAATTTGAGTTGATGTGCCACACAATGAGCAAATTCAGCTTTGGGGGACTCATGTCTTATAATTATCTGCACCTCACTCTGCTTCCTAGTCATAGTTGTGCAGCCATTATATTCCTGTCCCAATGCTTTACCCATATTGAGGATAAACTTTAGACATGCTTGAGGAATGGAAGTTGCAATGCTATGAATATCTTGTTGCAGCATGGAGACAATATGGAGCATGGAGACAAAACTGAGGAACTCATCGCTGGCGATGTACCTTCCTCTGTCAGTGTCCAAAAACCACACACCTAATGTGGTATCACTATACTGTGTTACTAGTGACCTCAACTATCTGATCCTGGAGCACCTGCTTGCAGATGAAGATAAGCTGAGGGACACTCCACAGGGACAGATGTATATTGAGCATTACCCAGTGCTTTCACCAAGTGCTCCTCCAGTATTTGACTGTATCAACTTGGAACTCAGAGAGGGCCTTGACATTCTCAGAAGTACTACTGCCACCACAGAGAGTCATGTCACAAGTTTTGCATAAGACAATGCTGGCCAGGATACATGATAGCTTTGCATGGTTCTTGGCAACCTGCTTTTTTATACTGCTGCCAACAAGACACATGATATTCTGCTCTGTGCCAGGAAGCTGTAGCATGCCTCTGGATGACCCTGTAGAAGTGGTTGAATCTCATTGCTTTTTGTTTTGCTTCATGCTTCCTGTTTATCATGAGAGACCATCTGTGAAAAAAAAAGAACATAACATTTGTACAATGCATCCTTTAGATGGAGATGGCCTTGAAGAAAGTATTTGACAGCTGTTATGTAAATAACTGTTTACCCTGAAAGAAAAGAGGGAGGGACAAAGAAACTCAAAAGTGCCCTGCCTTGATGGTCTTTGTCTCTCCCCTTTCCCTTTATACCAATTTCTGTCAGACTTTCAAGATTATTATATTCTGCAACAATAGAGTTCCAATAATCCTTATGAAACCTGTTTCCTGACCTGGCCTATCTCAAAGGGCTGACACTGGAGTAACAGAGCCATGACATGTACTATCCCAATGACAGCAGACAAAAGGCCTGTGTGCCAGATATACCAGTCAGAAATCATAATAGGTACAGAATACAAAGGGATGCTCCAGCAAGTCCTGTCTTTGATCCTTGGTGAGGACTATGTTTGATGGAAGGGCAACAGAGTCAGTGTCATTGTTGTCCATGGGGATCAGTTATTCCTGGGTAGGACCCCCAGTAACTGCCCCTCTGGCTTCATGGATGAGTAGGCACTACTGCTACTACTCACTTCCTCCTCAGGATGAGGCTGCTTGCTTGCTGTTCTGTCTTGTTTTTTCTTTTGCCAAAGAAGTTTTGGATGTCCATATTTGGAGGGGACGATGAAGACTCTGGTCACATACAATCCCAGGATCATTGCATAAACAAAACAATAAACAAACAGGAAGAATGCTGTGAAACTTGGTGGATGCTGGTAAGGACCTAGAAACTTTAGGCCTGTGGTATTCCACAATGAATGCCCTGCTTGTCAGTTTGACCAACACAATGGCCACATCATTGTAAACTGCTGGTACCAGGAAATTAAAAGACTCATGCTTGCACCTTGGAAAGGATTTGCTATGTGTACTCCCTACTGAAATTATTATCCTACAGCAAAGCAGACAAGAAGAGTTAAGGCCCATACTGTGATGCCACCCCACCCACCTCTCTTCTCTGTCTATCCGCATGAGGCTTTAGATTCTGAAGATAAGAAATAAGAGTGCAATCCCCTCAACCACATCTTGCTCTCTCATGTCAACCAGTGATAATGATATAGCAACTGTTGCAGCTGAAAGTCATATTGAACTGCAAAAAAAAAAAAAAAAACCCAATACATGGTCAACTCCTGGTTCCAGCAAATTCTTCTGATAGTACTCCTCCCCTGATCACTGCAGCCTAAGACAGCAACAGAGGTTGCAGAAGGAAGGTATACTGAATGTAGAAACTCAGCAGCACTTACCCTTGCAACTCCCACTGTTTCAGATGGTCTCCTGACTCTCCATATGAGGGTAATAACAAATCCACAAGGTTACATATCAGACTATTTAATGAATGTATACCTATGGGGATCCTATCACTGCCACCTACCATCATTACTAGTACTGTGTCCCTTTTACCCTATCACCTGAGTGGATAGCTTACCGTCGCTAAAAGCTATGACATTTGGAGAGGCAATGGAAAAGAAAATGGTGTCAGTTACTCTCAGGTGAGGAGGTCTGGAGAACTTACTCTTCCTAGTGCTGGCCTGAGTTGGAAGAAGCAAACTCACTGCTACACATGCTGGTTGCAATCCAGCAGCTGGTTGTCCTGAAAGGGGGGTTGGCATGAATCACAAGGGCATTTATAATTGCAGCACCACATTAAAGTGCCATTTTTTTTGTTGCCCATTGCTTGAAGTTCTGTACAATATATATATTTTCTGGAGGATGTCAAATTACTTTCTTGGCATTATAGATGACTACAGTTTACTGGCTCCTTATGTGCACATCTGTTGTGTAACACATGCAACCCAATACAATCCAAGGAAATACCTTGAAAAGAAGATGACTGAAATTAGAAGATGAGCTCCATGGGAAATGAGAAAAAAATGTACTGGTTAATTCAGGCATGCAATCCTATCAAAAGGCCTCACTGACCACCACCACCCCAAACATATGGCAGCACTGCATATATCTGCATAAGAATTGGAGGAAGTGCTCAAGGCCAAAAGGCCTTTTCATACAGGGTTGGTTCATCTAGGGCATGCTGCTGGGGAATTGTGGGAGTTGAAGTCCACACACCTTAAAGTTGCCAAGGCTGACAAACAGCGATCTAGGACAAATTAGAGGACAACTTCTTCCGCTCCCTCGCTCCCCATACCTGCAGCCCAGAACCCATTAAGTGAATTTGAAAAAGCCATACAGGAATCATCAAGCCATCCAAAAATTAAGCCAGAGACAAGCCAGCCACCTTATAATTATTAGAAGTTAGCCAAATGATATTAAACCATTTGCAGACACGTTGTGCAAAACATACATGTGCACACTGTTGGGGTTATAAAATGTTAATTCAAAAAACCCTGAGGAGGAGAGAGGATTCATTCCTATCTCATGGAGAGCCACGAGGAGAAGAGAAGGAAATGAGGGAAACATTTCCCTCACGGGACTCCAAGGCGGGCTCCAAGCCCCGCCCACACAAAGCAGCAAAGCTAGGCCGCAGTAAAGCCACTCCTCCTTTATGCTCGTGTGAGACAGGCTTGGTTGAAACCCCCTATCTAGGACAAATTAGAGGACAACTTCTTCTGCTTCCTTGCTCCCCCCACCTGCAGCCTAGAACCCATTAAGTGAATTTGAAAAAGCCATACAGGAATCAAACAATTTCAAGCCAGCCACCTTATAATTATTAGAAGTTAGCCAAATGATATTAAACCATTTACAGACAAGTTGTGCAAAACATACATGTGCACACACACACACACATGGAAAACAAGCCATTGGCAAAGGAAGCCAACATCCCTCACTTCTCCTCCCAGTCCCCATCCCAACAGAGCAGGAGAAAATAATCCATTCTGAAGAAAACTTTAACAATGTAGAGAATTTTTTTTTTTTTAGGGTGTGAAGCTAGCCTTCAGTTAGTCTAAATAAAACAAGATGAAATTTAGGCTTTTGCCTTTGCTCTCTCTCTCTCTCCCATGTCCTGTTTATTCCATGAAGGAATAGCTAAGACTACAAAACGTTTCTGCATATACGTTCAATTTTATAAGCCTACTGTATATATTTTTTAGGTAGAGGTAGCTCCTTCTCATAGCATTAACTTTTACTTAAAAGAAACAGTACCCAGGCCCCATGCGTTTTTATTTGGGCATAATTATCACTTAATTCATCGGGGCCCACTTCCGGGTGCATCCTCACTTTAATTAATTGATTTTACTTTTGAATAAAAATGCCAGTTATCCATCTACAGCTTTGCAATGTCCATGGTTTAATCCTTTTATATCAATATTTTTCAGTCAGTTACATTTCGCTTAACATGAAGCTAGGAATACTAGGCTACAGTAGGATCACCTGAAATGAGCCAGAGCGGTTTGCACAATCCTTAACACTTTTAATCCTGATACAAACCATTCGCATTCAGGAGAGGGAATAAGGAACTTCCCAGGCTGTGACGTAGGTTGCCATGGTGACGTTCCAGCAGCGTCTAGTGCTGGGAGGGGGAGAGAAAACAGGGATGAAAACAAACATGGCGGAGAGAAGCACGACAGCAGAATCGGGTTAGTAATTGCAGTAGCTCTCGGGGGAGGGGGCGAGAATTGGGAGAATTGCCTGGGGTCTTTGGAGGGGAGGGGAATAGACGTTTATGGGTGGGGGAAGGAATGGCTTTCAGAATAGGTATCAGAAGGCAGTTCAGCTTCTGAGTGTTTGGTAAGGAATGACCTTATATTCTGTGCAAATACTGTTGCTGTAAGACAAACAAGCGTTATTTCTTCGGACATAAATACAGCAGTCCCTTTGCTGGGCGTGTAGGTCAGAAAGGAGTCTATTTATAGTGTA